TCTTCCACAATTTCCGAAGCTATCAAGAATAAGAAAGACACACATCACCTAATATCTTACGATAAAAAGATCATAAATTACTTTATTGAATTTTACGTCAATTTTCAAAAGACTACTGAAAAAAAGTTCTCAAGATTTTCTTAAAAAATCTTTTTCATGTGGATATACTTAAATGCATTAAGTAAGGGATGGGGATGGGATGATGGTGTCATTAATTTCCAAAATGTAGGATGTGCACATTTAGATTTCGAGGTCCATTTAATATGACCAAGAAACCACAAAGACTCTTGTTATTGCCTTCTGATTCTGTCAAATTATAGGACAATATGACAATAAGGAGATTTGGTATGATTGCCAATGAGACAAACATCCACCAGAGTTCAAATGAAATACACCACAGTATAGCCTCCAACAATATGAAAAACCCATACCGTGTAACGGTCGGCTATAAAAGGCCCCGACATGAAAAATGTGATACAATTCAAACAAGAAAACTAACGGCCTCATTTATATAAATATAATATATAAAAAGCTCACTTTTTTGTAAAGCATATCTTGTTTTTTATTACTAAAGTTAAATTTTAACAGAATAGGATATTTGCAAATTACTAATTTGATTACACACTTTGAACACAAGTTGATTCCCCGTGTCTATTGTGGACTGCTTCTAAAATTGACAAAATAAGATGCTGCGAAAAATTTGATTAGTCAACTGTGAAGGGAAGTGATTAATGAGAAACAAAAACTTTTGGGAAAGGGAGGATAAGATGGCGAATCACATTTTGTAGGATGTTCGCTCCTCTGTTTTTAAATAACAAGTTTTTTAAAAGCATTTTTTGGTGTGGTTCGTGTTACTCAGTCTTTAGTTTTCTATGTTGTGTTTTGCGTACTGGTGTTTGACTGTTTGACTGTTGGTCTTTTTTCTTGTTATGCCATCGAGTTGTCAGTTTATTTTCGACTAATGAGTTTGAATGTCAATTAATTTGGTATTTTTCCCTTTTCTTTTAAAAGACTCTTATACATTGATAGTATATAAATAACGAAACTTAAAAAGCGGAAAAAAATGAAAGGTCAGTGTCCTTGTTTTCGAGATATAATTTAAATGAAAATTTGTGGGAACATGATTCTCTCTTTTTATTTTTTGTACATTTAACATTGGCACCTTTTCTTTCAAAAACTATTAAAAAATAACAAGGATTTCATGTTTTTCAAAAATGGCCTGTTAAACTATATGTAATAAAATTATCGAAAGAAAAGTAGGGCTTAGAGAGCAAAACTTATATTGGTACTTCATGGTTAAAAGTAGACGAACATCTGACAAAGAGTCAAAACCAGAGTACCAAACATCCTTGATGATATGTATCGTAAATAAATCAATCACATACATTCAAGTTCAGCAATTTCGATCTTCGGATAAGTCAATACATTTCGTTCTTCGGATAAGTCCATACATTTCGTTCTTCGGATAAGTCCATACATTTTGTTCTTCGGATAAGTCCATACATTTCGTTCTTCGGATAAGTCCGTACATTTCGTCAAATGAACGGAATTACTTTTCTTACTTTCTTAAAAAAAAATCATTTCATATGAACATTTTGTAGATTTTTAATTTTATTTCCTTTAATAAAATTTTAACATATCCTGATCATCAAATTGTCCATTTACATACATTAATCATGATTTTCTTATTAATGAGTACATATAGCCTTGCTTTAATCCAGTCTTACCTATCATTTTTACGTTATAGATTGACTAGGCGATAACCAGGTGTTTCATGACAGACAATGAACACTCTACCATCACAATGTCAAAATATAAAAAGGAAATCGATCACGAAAAGCTATTATCCGGACAGGAAAATTGAAATGGGACAAACTACTTTGTTATAGTTTTGATGAAAATCTTTACACTTTTCAAAGTAATGTATTAAGTTTCACATTCTATTTAACCAACCGAATGCTAAACTTTATAATAAATGTTCATCGCTTTTGCATTAAAATTAAGTCTTAAGGGTATATTTTAAGCAAAGAATCTTTTCTTCATTTGTAAATGATTTAAAATACATTTATCATACGAAAAATGCAGTCATCTTCATAGTGACGTAGTGGTGAGAGCTCATAGTGACATAGGATTAAAAAAAAGGATCACAGAAGGCATTATCAGAACGTTAGCGTAATGAGGCATATGTATACAATTGTAAGGAGTGTCCTCTTGCCTATTTACTATATGTTACATCATCTTTACCAAACCCTAATCAATAGAGCAGGGGTTTCAAAACAGTGATTTGTTAAACAAAATCCGTAGACTTTTTCAACTGGTTTTTAGTTTGTTCGTATGTTGTTCTGTTACACAACTGTCTCGGGGGGCGGTTTGAGCCCTCACAAACATGTTTAATCCAACCACATTCCGTATGTTCCTGTATGCCCCAAGTCAGGAGCCTGTAATTCAATGGTTGTCGTTAGTTACTGTATGTCATATTTTTTTTATTGTTAATTAATTGTTTTTGCGTAAACAATGCCGTTGGTTTTCTCTTTTGAATTATTTTCCTTTTTTTGTCTTGCTGGGGCTTTTTGAAGGCTGAACGTTGCCCCGTAGATACTTACATCTATGTCAGACGGTCGGTTGTGGATTGTTATGATGTCGGGACCTTTCATAGTTTCCTATACAGTATGGGTTTTGCTCATTCTTGATGGCCGTACAGTGCCCTACAGTTGCTTACATCTATGTCAGACGGTCGGTTGTGGATAGTTATGATGTCGGGACCTTTCATACTTTCCTATACAGTATGGGTTTTGCTCATTCTTGATGGCCGTACAGTGCCCTACAGTTGCTTGCATCTATGTCAGTCGGTCTGTTGTGAATATATGTTTTGCTCATTGTTGAAGGCCGTACTGTGACCAACAGTTGTAATCTTCTATATCATTTGGTCGCTGGTGGAGAGTTGTTTCATTTGCAATAATACCACATTTTCTTATTTTTATATACACACTTTATTGTCGATAATAATTGTTCTTTCAAGTTTAGGTTTATATGATATTCAACTAAAAAATTAGTGAAAATATAAATATAAAACAGTACATATTATCCAATTCAAGCAAGAAAGGAACAATCTTTTACACTTCTTTTCTCTGTTTAACAACTACATGTAAATTAAAATTATAAGTTTTCTTAAATATGTATCAAGAATACCTGACGTTCTATAAGCTTGCGAGTGATCTAGGTATGATATATTGCTGTAATATAAGACTATGTTTATTTTTTAAATAGATGTATTATTGCATGCTGTTCAACGTTGTGTTATTTAACGCATTTTTCAATTTTGAAATATTTCATTCAATCTTTTTTTTAAATGACGATGTATTATAAAGAAGTTATTTAACAAACTACTAAATAAGCGATTATGGTTGTCAGTTAACATTCATTTAAAATTTGCTAAATCAGGCAAAAGTATGAACTGCTCCATTGAATTTACATACCTTTTGACGAAGTTATTTTTCTGTATATTTAAGAACTACCATATATAATATACATATAGTAATTGTTCTTTTTGTACTTTTTGGATACAACATTTGCTGTACTAAATTGTGATATAATACATTGCAAATTGAAAACTAAGGAAAAAAATAACTATATTAAATGAAAGAAAGTCATGTTTCAGATTTGTCGACTGAAAATAAGAGTGAAAACGAATAAGTACGTTTATCAAACAAACTTGTTTTGGTCGTCTCGATTATTGTACATAAATGACTGATTGATTATTAATTGCTTAACGTCTAGTGGCAAATATTTCATGCATGTTCAGGTCGAAAAATTAACAATAAGGGGTCAGCCGGACAGATAGGCGGGCATTTTGAAATGTCAGTGGAAATGAGGATACATTGATTAGGGACAAAAAATATAACTTTCAACAGGTCACTAGGAATCCCTTTAGAGTTGCTGCAAGGGTTTTTAACACACAGCCAAAACAGACACCACACTCGATCAGAGGCCTTTAATGCCGATCAGAAAAAGACCAAGAGTTGACCATATTTCTATAACCAATTACTACAAGTGTATTTTGTACGTCATGTCAACCCTTTATCGACCCGATATAATATCAAGTATATTATTACATATCTCTGAGTGAAAACAGACTGCAGTGACCATAATTTTTTGCACCTAATCAGTATATCCTCAATTTCCACTGGCATTCCAATATTTCCGCCTATCTTCCCTGCAGTTCCCTTATTGTTATTTTGTTTTCGCCATGAACATGCATGAAATATTTGCCACTAGACGTTAACAATCGATTCCAAATGTCTCAAAAGACAAAAAAACATTTGAAACAAATAACCACCACTGATGAGGCTCCTGGCTTTGGACGGGCAAATGCACATTTGATTTTTTAATTCCATTAACAAAATGAATTGGTCACGACAATTTGTTTATCTTAGAGAACATATCAATCTTTATAACTTGTAAATTACAGTTTTACAATATTTACTATGGTAATATGTGTATCTGGGATTAACGTAGGTAGCGGAATACCTTTTTTGTGTATCGCGAGGTTAAAGAAATGTCACAGACATCCTCAATCGCTGAAAAATGGGAATTTCCTGCGTAGGAGAATTTTTTTTAAAACAAAACAAAAGTTATAGTTTTAATTTTTATACAGTTCTGAATATTACACTGGCATATTCATTTAAAAAAAAGTTGTTGGATAATAACATGTTGGCTGAGAGTATCGACCTTGAAACAAAACTATTTCTACTTATTTAAAACGAAACGAACATAACCACCGAAGAGAAAACTACTCAATATTATTTTCGGAAATGCATATACCAGGAATATGACGGTTGTTTTCTATGCATTCTGCTGGGTGATAAAAGTCTATCGTTTGTTTTTGTCAGTTTTATGGACTTCACCTTTTTGAATTTACATTGGAGTTTTGTTTTTTAACTTTTTTTTACAATACTTCTTTTTGATTTACGTTGACTTTTAAAAGTTTAATTTTTTTTTAGGTACCATATCTCTGTGTGAGAACGAAGGGGAAGATATTTACATCGAAGGAATAACTGGACCGTGTATTCGTTGTTTTTGTAAGGTAGGTGCTGAAATAATTTAGACACACTGCACTTTAAAAATAATAAAATAGACAATATACATATATATTAAATTTCAACATTCAATTCAAACTTTATATAAGATGTCGCATTCAAAATATGATCGAATCAAATATTGAAAAGTGAAACTGTGTAAGGCTTTCTTTTAAAGAAGTCGTGGTTTTCTTTTTTAACACCACCTGTATGCAATAGTGTGTATGTGTGGCTGACCACCTGTATGCAATAGTGTGTATGTGTGGCTGACCACCTGTATGCAATAGTGTGTATGTGTGGCTGTTTATTATATTATGTGTACCACAGGCACTTAATGCATGGACCCCCTTTTTAAATTTAAATTTTTATTTGGTGTTTGATTATTAAGTTAATATTTTTTACTTGTTTAACTAATTTTCACTTGTCTAAAGTTTGTTCTTAGTCATTCGATATTGCAATAACAGTTTGTTGATGTGGTTCATAAGTGTTTCTCGTTTCACGTTTTTATATAGATTAGACCGTTGGTTTTCCTGTTTGAATGGTTTTACACTAGTTATTTTTGGGGCCCTTTATAGCTTGCTGTTCGGTGTGAGCCAAGGCTCCATATGTTGAAGGCCGTTCTTTGACCTATAATGGTTTACTTTTACAAATTGTGACTTGGATGGAGAGTTGTCTCATTGGCCCTCATACCACATCTTCTTATATCTATTTTTGTCGTTTTTCGGTTTTTGTTATGGCGTTGTCAGTTTTTTGAGTTTGAATATCCCTTTGGTATCTTCCGCCTCTCTTGTTTAACTTAATATGTTTTAAAGCATTATCAGATAATAGTTTAAAACCTTCAGTTAAGACCATCCCTCCCTATCTAATTCTTGAAAAAGCCATAAGGATTTATAAATCTCATAAATATATTTTAATATATGTTTTAATTGAATTACACAGCTACAAATCTTGTATCTGAAATTGCATAATCTGCAGATTTAACGCATCTGTCTGATCGATAAAATGCGCTTTTTAAATACTGATTGTCTTGTAGAAAATAGAAAGAAAAAATACGAAAAAAAAATTCATTGCCGAAATTGAAGTGCAAAATTAGTGTAGTTGCAATGCGTCGGTTTGTTGCACGTGGTTGACTGTCATTCCGATGATCAAAAAGGCATTTTATGACGAAATTAGATTCTCGCCCAAACAGACAATAATAATGAGTTTCCAACCGGGTTAATTTTCTCTTTCACAATAGAATACCAAAACTATGTGCACCTTTTATCAAAGAACTAGATACCACAATTTATTTAATCTTCCACGTTTAGTTTAGATCGTACCATTGGCTACGTGACTCAATAAAATATGAATTCATTTACACGCACTGAACTTATTAATAATTTTTATATCATAAAAGAATGTTAAGGTAGTGTCTTTGTGAAAAATGATAGGTCTCGTAAGTGCAAATAAAGGGTTGCTTGTTTGTAGTAAACCTTAAGGCTAAAACATACAATAAGATTCCAACACTCTAGCAAGTTCTTGTGACCCTATATAAATCGAAAAAAGTGCGCTAAGGCTGAAATATACAATAAGATTCCAACGTTCTAGCAAGTTCTTGTGACCCTATACATAGAAAAAGTGCGCTAAGGCTAAAACATACAATAAGATTCCGACATACTATCAAGTTTTTGTTGACCCTATATACATTGAAAAAAATGCGTTAAGACTAAACAATACAATACAATAAATGTATCATCAAGTTTAAGGTTGACCCTATATACTGAAAAAAGTGAGCGCTTAAGGGACAACCATTTGAATATTTTTTTTCAAATGGAGCAGGAGAATTTTTTTCACTGACATTTTCCAAATCCTCCTGTCCCCCATCCCTACCCACACTTCGTCCACTAAGGCCAAAGTTCTGTTTTTATTTGTTTTGTATTCCGCTTGCTTCAAGATTTTGATTTTCTGTTTTTGAAAAACAAAGATAAAAATATATTTGAGAAAAACTATTGATAATATATATATAAATAGATTTTAAGGGAACAATTGAACTTTATAGTCTTATTGGCACTCATATCACATCTTCTTTTATCTATTAAGTATATCATTAATCATTATTTTGTCCAAAATAAAAAGTCCATAGACGGATATTTAGTTTTCTAGATAAATCTTTTGAAGTATGTTCGCAATTGGCAACAACTTGTATGACTGTTTAGCATAGCATGAGTGTGCTTATATTTTGTGTAAGTTTTTCTTTCTGGCTAGCTTTTGGTCACGACTTAGTAAATCATGGCCACGATATAAGTTACTCGTGTACGACTTGTATCTTTTTTTCTTGAGCATAAAATGACCAGACTAAGCTTTTATAAACTTCTGACAATTCGAAGTCACGCCAAACAAATTAAGACACTTAAAATCATACCTCCTAGCATACTTAGTACTATAATAACTTTTCATCAAATTAAGCAATGTAAAAATCAGCATAAACGGTCTTAATTATGTCTGATAACGGTATTCATATAAATCAAACAAGACACATGTAAAAACCTAGATACTATTTCACACCTATTTGAACGTAACTGACATATTTTGTGATCAATTATTTCATAATACTAGCAATAAAATATAATGAGATATTCTACACCCCCATCCATTCACTTAATTATGTAACATCAAATGTTTGACAGACGCGCAGTAAATATATTAACACTTGTAAAAACAATTGTCGTAACTGCCGTCTCAGTTTAAAGAAATGAGAATAATCATAAATCATAAAACCAAAGATGATTGAGAATACCATAACCAAAAGAAAAACGACGAATTGGCAAATAATATAAATAAAAGATGGTGAGGCTTTTTATAACTTGCTATGCGTTCAGGGTTTTGCTCAATGTTGAAGGCTGAACGGTGACAAAACACAAACAATCAAAACAAATATGGAGGTAAACTTTCAACCAAGACAGGTGTCAATAACGTGTGTGAAGCTTAAGATCTAATCAACCAAGACAGGTGTCAATAACGTGTGTGAAGCTTTAGATCTAATCAACCAAGACAGGTGTCAATAACGTGTGTGAAGCTTAAGATCTAATCAACCAAGACAGGTGTCAATAACGTGTGTGAAGCTTTAGATCTAATCAACCAAGACAGGTGTCAATAACGTGTGTGAAGCTTAAGATCTAATCAACCAAGACAGGTGTCAATAACGTGTGTGAAGCTTTAGATCTAATCAACCAAGACAGGTGTCAATAACGTGTGTGAAGCTTTAGATCTAATCAACCAAGACAGGTGTCAATAACGTGTGTGAAGCTTTAGATCTAATCAACCAAGACAGGTGTCAATAACGTGTGTGAAGCTTTAGATCTAATCAACCAAGACAGGTGTCAATAACGTGTGTGAAGCTTTAGATCTAACCAACCAAGACAGGTGTCAATAACGTGTGTGAAGCTTTAGATCTAAATAGTCCACAAAACATTACACACAAAACTAAAGATTGCGCAAAATGAACCTTTAAGTTAAACAAATTGAGAGTGGGCCCGGGGTATCGGTAACAAATTAATAAGTCTAAAGTCCTTATTATATCGACCTTTTTAAACAAAGAAATTGAACCGGCAATAAAAGCCAAGATGGCCTTTTATTACAGTTAAATATAAATTCATACTTTTAGAACAATTTTGCATCAGTGAAATAGTTTAAATATCACTAAATACACGTTGTGAGTCGCTTCACCATTATACAGAGTGCAAAACCCAAGATCCCTGTAACATCGACCTTTTTTAACCAAGAATTTGGAACTGGCAATTAATGTCAAGCATGCATTCTCTTACGATTAAACTTAAGAATATATTGTATCACTGAAATAGTTGTATCGACACTAAATACAAGTTGTGGGTCTTTCACTTCATACAAGTGAGATGTTTAGCTAGCTATAAAACCAGGTTTCATCCACCATTTTCTACATAAGGATATGCCTGTACCAAGTTAGAAATATGACAGTTGTTTTCCATTCGTGTGATGTGTTTGAGCTTTTGATTTTGCCATTTTATAAAGGACTTTCCGATTTGAATTTTCCTTGGGGTTCGGTATATTTGTTATTTACCTTTTCACGGAGTAGATTTACTGTAAACCCCCAAGTTCCTCATTACATCGACCTTTTTAAACCAATAACTTGGAATGGCAATAAATGCCAATAGTGCCTTCTCTTACAATTAAGTAAAAACTCAATTTATATGTTAAAAATAATATTGCATCACTGGCAACGAAATACAATTCAGAGGCGGTTCAGCATTACACAAAACATCGATTTTTTAAACGAAGAACTTGGAATTGCAATAAATGTCAAGAGTGCCTTCTCTTACAATTAAGTAAAAACTCAATTTATATGTTAAGTTCAATAATGCAACACTGGAAACGAAATACAATTTAGAGGCGGTTCAGCATTGCACATAAAATCGACCTTTTTAAACCAAGAACTTGGAATTGCAATAAATGCCAAGACTGCCTTCTCTTACAATTAAGTAAAAACTCAATTTATATGTTAAGAACAATATTGCATCACTGGAAACGAAATACAATTTAGAGGCGGTTCAGCATTACACATAACATCGACCTTTTTAAACCAATAACTTGAAATTGCAATAAATGCCAAGACTGCCTTCTCTTACAATTAAGTAAAAACTCAATTTATATGTTAAGAACAATATTGCATCACTGGAAACGAAATACAATTTAGAGGCGGTTCAGCATTACACATAACATCGACCTTTTTAAACCAAGAACTTGGAATTACAATAAATGCCAAGACTGCCTTCTCTTACAATTAAGTAAAAACTCAATTTATATGTTAAGAACAATATTGCAACACTGGAAACGAAATACAATTTAGAGGCGGTTCAGCATTGCACATAAAATCGACCTTTTTAAACCAAGAACTTGGAATTGCAAAAATGCCAAGACTGCCTTCTCTTACAATTAAGTAAAAACTCAATTTATATGTTAAGAACAATATTGCATCACTGGAAACGAAATACAA